GAGAAAGGCCTTTACTAACCATCATCATCCACTGGGCCCTGGTAATGGGATAGACCCAAATTGCATGACAATATGTTGATCATGCTGAGTTACAGATTTGCTTGAAATGTGTTGGGCCGAGATAAACTTTTGAATCGACGTGAAAACCACTACAGTACGTCAGAATCAACATGCGTTGGTCACAAGCGGGACCAAGACCTGGCGCTCGACAGGCCAATTCGGGTAGAGTTGGACTCAGCCTGGCTGCGTGGCGTTTTTTTTACCAATCACTTGGAGGCGTTCTTTTTCTTGTTCAGATGGGTTCAACTGATATACGCTGATATTTAACATATATTCCTGGGCCCTCGGTGATTAGTGGGCCCCAACAAAGCACACTTTACCATGCCATCATCGTTGGCACTCTTGCTAATCAATGATACCATGGCCAAGACTATGCCTAGAATCCTAGAATCACTACATCATCATCCCGGCAAGGGACCCCAAACAGGGGCGAATTTCTGCACTCCAGAGCACATACACAAGAGCGCACACATGAAGGCACACAGCACATATGAGAGCAAAGATATGAGAGCACACACATGAACGCATACACATGAGAGCACGCATATGTGAGCACGAAAGAGAACACACATGAGAACACAATGAGAGCACATATATGAGAGGGCACATACCAAACCCCACACATGAGAGCAAATACATGAGAACAAACACACATGAGAGGGAAAGGGCCTTGTTTGTATGCACGTCGGCAGGTGTCTTGTTCATGCGTCTTTTGTCCACTATTTGCTGACATTACAACGTTGAAAGCACATTAAACAGGCAAAATATGTTTTTGCTGAGAAGTTCCAAAAGACACAATTTTCCGGTTCACAGAGAACTGTGGATGGCTGTGCAATGCTGTGCAGGCCTTAAGAGGAAGAAGACGAGTCACGGAACACGAAAAAGTCCTCTAACACATGCATTCCTCCATAGCTGTAGGTTTGCAAAGGGCTCTCAAAGAGGGGCGCGTTGCCACTAGCGCGTGGGTGTGATTGCGCTCCCCATGGGGCCCCGTAATCAGGGCCTGCCCATATACTGTAAATCCATGCACGCATATAGACGTATAGAGTTAGAGTGGATGGTTAATTTTGATTTCAATATCACCTTTTGTTCAGTTTGTGAAAAAATGATCTTATTCCAACCTTATGAATGCAAGAAACACACAAGATGGATTCAATAATACTCTAAAAACAGTGAACTGTATATGTTCAGTCTTATTCCAATCCGGAGTCTTTGCAGTGCACCACCTCTCGCGTTTTTTCGGCCCCAAGGATTTCTTTCCTGCGGAGATGAGGACTCTTTGAGCGGGAAAATCATGGACCCACCGTTGTGAAGAGGTCGCCAGAATGGTGAATTGTTCCAAATAAATCCATGTGTGAATTGCCAAACAGTAACATTCAAGCATTGTTTTGCATGAGCAGAGGTCTGACAATCATATGTAATTATCAATGTCCCCCCTTTTGACCTAGATTTTCCGACTTCATGTTTCGACTAATTCGTGCTTTGCCACGAACTGCACAGGACGTGGATATATGTGGATCCATATTCTAGAAAAATAATGTGTTTCGGAATGTGTTTGAACTCGCAAGTGTAGACAGCCAAAACCTCCCACATGCAAACAAGTAGATCAAACAACCTTGGACAAAGTCATTTGCTGCAGAGTCTAGAGTCTATGAGATTCCAAGTCCTTAAAACCCGTAAAACCCAGAAAAGTACTGTAAAATTGTTCCACAGACAGAGTGCCCACCACAATTTCTGGGTCACAGTTTCAATACAATAGGTCTTCTTAGGGAGGACTCCACTGTTTATGAGGCTGACTGTTTTTGAGGAGTATCTCATGTAGACACCTCAAGCAAAGATGGGGATGCTAAACGTCTTTTGGATCAACAAAACCTGTTCCGTGGAGTTTTGCGATGTTTGTGCCAGGATGCAGAACTACATGTACGGTGTCTTGACAATGGGGATGCTGGTGGGTTGGATGTTTTACTTTTTTTGATCAGAAACAATCCGTTCAGGGCCCACTAATACTATTGGGTCTTAGACCTTCGGTTGGTTCCAGATGAGGCCTGCCAGGGATCTCGGAGATGGATGGAGGGGGGTTGAGGGTCTACCACCTTTCTTTTCAGATGTATTTTTGAATGTTGTTTGTTTGTCCAATATAATTCCATTCTCCTCATTCAGGTGAAGTTTCTCCACAAACAGCCCGAACCAACACGTAGGGTTTGGTTCGGGTCCGTACCCCTGCGACTGGGTCGAGCCCGACCCCTGCCATGGAGGGCCCGTGCGGATTCTTAGGGCTCAATATATAATATGTGTCCAAGTGTCTCTATTGTCACCCTGCCTTGCATCCCCGGTACCATGCTTTTTTGCCGGTTTTCGAGGCACCCCTGGGATGTGAAACGCCAGATTCTGGTGGATTCTAAACGGCTTCACTGTCACTCTGGCTGTGGGCTGTGGGTCGCACCTGGATCCCCTGTCATCCTGCTGGGTTGACATCCCTTCTACCAGAAGTTTGTCGTGGCACCAGAGGTCAACCGGGGTGAAGGATTTTGACCCACATCCATATATACCGTATCGCACAACTCGTACTTGGATCCAGAATATATGTGGTTCGTTTGACCAGTTGGTAGTACCAAACAAGATTTTGAACTTTTCATGCTTCTGCACTGCGCTCGTGGGGATCATGATTTCGCGCTAACTATGCTTGTTGTGTGTTTGAGGGAACTGTGACCTGTAGTTTTTCCGAAAGATATGATCTACGAGAGATTACCAGACTATGTAGTTTGTTGAATAATTTCAATGATCCTGATTCATCCAAAGGCTCGGCTTTGTATCATATTTGCATAAAACTTGTCAAAAAGGTCAGCACATGTCAGCACTTCTCAAAGGAATCGAAGGATCTCTTTGGTCTATCCGTTTGCTTTGTTTTCGTTTAGCCTTGCACAAGATGTGCAACCTTACGAGTTGTTCATGCTGAGAGGTCCTCAAAAGGGAGGAACAAAACACAGTAACAAGGACGCTACTAGGTTGGAGGCCATCGCTATTAGGTTGGAGGCCATCGCTACTAGTAACAAGAAGCTACTAGGGAGAAGACACCAATTTGTTTTGCGGACCGTTGCTTTCGCCTCTCGCCCAACTCCTTTGGGGAGAGACGAGTTTCATTAGCGATCTCCCAGGAAAGTTCAAAGAAACTGCGCGGCGCTACGGGTGCACTGCGCGACGTAGCGGCTAAGCGGGCGGGTTGGGACCCGACGCAACACACATGGACTGCACCTGTATAAAGAAAGTCCTTGTTCCATACAAAATGAACATTCCAATACATATTCAAGTGGGAGTATGTTTTTGGCGAGTTAAGGTCCATGGGCGTGATCATGGCGGAAGAAGGTCGAGTCTTCCATCACCCGGGTACAGCGTGCGAGCGGTCACAGATGGAATTCTGCGTCTTGCAGTACCCCCAATGAACCTTCCGTGGAATCTGGTCAGCCAGTGGTTGTCCAGGAGAGGGACCATCAGGTCGTGGAGAGAAGACGGTCGCTGACAACCACCCCCTTGCACCGTTGCACCCTTAATTTTTTATCACGTCCGGAAAACAAAAGTAACACAGTAGGACACAAAGTAAACACAGACAGCCATTTTGCGTAATGTCCCAAATTGTCACTTTGGGGATTCAGGGTGTTCACGGGTTGTATTTGGGAAGCGACATTCAACGGCTCCGTGCGACATTCAAATGGCGCAACGGTTTTTGTCCGTCGATTGATTGAGGACACGCGGGTCGCGACCAGCTCCTAAGACATAATGCAAGTTGTGGCATGTGCTCTGTCTATATTGTTGTTTGGCGGGTTTAGAGATTTAATAGTGTTCCATGAATGGCAATCAGGCAGCCAGGCGATTTGTCTACTCTCAGCTGTGCACCACTAGCCAGACACTCTTTTCAGCCAGACGAACGAACGGAACTTGGCATAGGGTGGGTTCCACCCGAATTCACCAGACGATCGTCCATAGATGTCCGTTTTTTTGTTTCTTTAGTTTAATCTTATGTATGTGTTTGTTCGTTCTTGTTTTCTTTGGGAACAATAAATAAATGTATCCCAATATACATAGACTGTATCCACCAGAACCCCAAAACCACCCCGGACTAGCTGAAGAAAAAACCTTTGAACAACTTGTACCGAAAACTATATACAAAAGATCTTTGCCGACAACCAACCCAAGAAACAGCAACAACTACAAACCAAGCTGAGCCAACCAACCCTTCATATCTGTCCTGGTTTGTGGTTTCTCATCGCCAGCTTCCAAATGTACGATGCCCCTGTGCTCGAGCATGAGGAGTGTCCGGGATGCCGGGGATGGAGAGCAAGAGTGGAGTTTCTGAGGCTTATGGGACCTGAAAAGCACCTGGTTGTAGAGGAAAGTCGTCTTCCTTGCAGGTCCATGTGGACCAGGTTCGGTCCCCGAACCCGGGTGTACTGCGGAGATCTCTCCACTTCTTCGCAGGCACGGGTGTTCTTCGCAGCGATAGTCTGTCCACATCCACTTCCATGTCGAATAGAGAACAAACAATTGTTGAGGAAACAAGTTGGGTGCGTCTTGATTGTATCAAAATCAGATAGTGGAAAGGAACAGATAGACGGACTTTTTCTCTATATATATATATAGACAGATGCCATAATCATATAGAACCATGACATATATATTGCAAATTGCGGCATTCCGAAGGTCCACAATTCGTCGCCATCCGTACAGCACTCAAGAGCCCCCTCGGGTTTTTGGAAAAAGGAGTGACCACTTTCGTGCTGCCTCCTTCCGCTCGCTTTTCACTCGCATGGTAGCGGTATAGCCTGGTTAATCCAGGTTAGTGGCCACTGAAGCCCTGCGGCAACAGTGGAGATCCGGGGATGGAATCTTTACCACGGAGTAAAGATGGGGTACCGACCTTCGACGGGTCGGCTGAACATCTTGCGATGTTCAAAGAAGAAGCACTGGCATACCTGTTCACCCTCGAACACCACAAACGATACCTGGCAGGTCCCAGACTAGCTCAAGGGTTGACTGGTGTGGCCAGAACGGTGATTCGCAAGAAGTTGGCGATTGATCCACAGTGGCTTGCTCATCCGAGGGGGGCTTATGACCTGATAGAGCACTTGGAGCAGGCACTAGGACAGCCAACTTTGATACAAGCAGCTCAGCACATACAGAAGTTCTTTTACCAGTTGAAACGGAAGCGCAATGAAACCATGACACAGTGGACCAGTTGTCACAGTGAAGCATTGTGGGATGCGTCTCGGGCCCTGCAGCGTGTGAACTCGGAGCATAGCAGTGTGAACACTGTTGGGGGAAGCTCGAAACACACGCACAAGGCCTATAGCGACGCCAGCTGGGGACGTGGAAGTCATGGATCCTTGACTGCAGCTCGTCGAGATGATGCACTTCGAGCTGGAGCAGGTGATGGGGGACCATTCGATGAGAATGGGAGAATGCGTGATGATGGAGAAGCCTCAGAAGCTGCTGATCCGTGGGCCCGTCGCGAACCGGCTCCCTCCCAGGATTGGGATTGGGACTGGAAGCATTCAGAGTGGTCTGGATGGCATGGGAGCACATGGCACAGCGAGGAGTACGAACCTCCAGCTTCGTGGCATACGGAGGTGAAGGACTTCATCCCAGAGCACTTGACAGGATTCCTGCTGCTGCAACGATCTGGATTGGATGCCAGCGAACGTGCAAATGTGTTGGCAGCCATTCGTGGCCAGTTCTCAGTTGCAACAGTGGAAAGAGCCCTCAAGGAGCAATGGTCGGACGACGACCTCATGAAGAGGGACAAAGCTCACTACAGCGCCAATCTGGCTTGGGAGGATGACGAAGAGCAACTTTTGCTTGCAGGTGAAGTTCCACCCGATCCTGACTATGAGCCCGAAGCCTATGCAGCCTTCATGGATGAGCAGAATGTGATAGATTCTGCCCTGGAGGCCATCAAGGAGAAGAAGAGGACGCTGCAAGAGGCCAGATGGCGCCAACAACAGGTCCGCAGTGGACGCAAGTTCTATGGACCTCCCGCCAACAAGGGGGGTGGAAAGGGACAGTTTCGACATGGAGATCGTGACCATGGACCTCAAAAGTGTCTCAAGTGCGGAGGCCCGCACCAGACCTCCAACTGTCCAGTACCAAAGAAGCCTCAGGCCAATGTGACTGAGGAAGCGGAAGTGGCTTTCAAGGCACACCAAGAGTCGCTTTCGTGTGAGCAAGCTCAAGTGTCGGCTGAGGTCTGCGAAAACATCCGCTTGGGAAAAGGGATCATCGACTGTGGCGCCACCGCTACCTTAGGCTCAGTTGCTGCGGTCGAGGCTCTGATGCGAAATCACTGGACCAAAAAGGGCAGTGATGGAGTGGAGGTAGATGTGAATACCACCCCCACTTTTCGTTTTGGAAACAATGGAACCCAAGCATGCGTATCCACCGCCAAAGTGAAGGTGGATTGTGGTGAGAAGGTTGGGGACATGTCGATTCATGTTCATGACTTACCCAACCAACCAATTTTGGTTTCCATCAAATCTTTGAGAGCGCTCGGGGCCGTGGTGGACTTCGGCCGAAATGAAGTGATCTATCGTTCGATTTGCCCGTTGAGTGTGGTTAGGCTGGAACAGGCCGCAAATGGCCATCTCCTCATGCCCCTGAGCGACAATCTTTTGGCAGGAGCCACCCGCCGAAAACAGGCTTTTGGTGCGCTCGGTGACGAATAGGGACTCAGCTCCTCTGGAGAAAATGGACATGGCGTCCAGGGGAGCAATACAGACAGTTTGAATGCATGTCGTGAGATCGGAACTTGTTCGGTTTGCACATTGTTATCTGTACAGAACTCGTCGTGCACTTTTTGTGGGCATGAAGAAGTTGTGAATAAAACTTGTTGTGATAGTGATAATATCAGGTCCGTGCTTGAGTCTAATGTTTGTAATTCTGTTTTATCCCAACAGCAGCACTCTACAGCATCCAGCAGTGGACAGCTAGATTCGCCAAGTCTTTCAGCAAGTGATCATGCCCACCGAGACCAAGCAGGAGCTCATTCGCAAAATCGAGGAGCTGGGAGAGTCAGCCTCATCCAGCATGACGGTGATGCAACTAAAGGCACTTCTGTCGGAGTTGAAGACGTCAGCCAAGGAGTCAGATCGGTTTGCCCTTCAGACCAAACTGCAGGCCTTGAACAAGGCCGCAAAGAAGAAGGCAACTCTTCAGGCACTGGCAGACGACATGAACGTGTCCTACACAGCAAGCAACACCATTCCTCAGATCTATGCGAAGGTCGAGGAGAAGGTTTCGATGGAGCACCCAGGGAATCCTTGGGACAAAGTGAATTTCGGAAAGCATGCCGAATGCAACTACAAGGACATCCTGGAGACACATCGCAGCTATGGGCAGTGGGTGATCCAGACAGCAAAGGAGAATCCTACGGGAAGCCATTGGCGACTTCGTCGACTGGCACAATGGTTGGAAGAGAACTGGGACACACCGGTGAGGAAGGGCCCAGAGATCCGTTCGCTGACTCGGCCATCCTCCAGCCGGGGCAAAAGCTCGGGTTACCAACCGACGGCCCAGGATCTGGCAGACCTGCGCCGAGAGATGATGGAGCCTCACTCCGACAGTTCTTTCGTGAAGGTGCACCTGTCAGATTCCGAGCAGGAGTTGGAGCGAGTGAAGGCCGAACTGGAACAACTGAAGTCGGAGAATGCCCAGCTGACCCGACAGGCGGAGCGCAGCAAGTCCCGCAAGGAGATGTGAGAGAGTTGATTGAGCCAGATAGTGATTCGGAGTGGCAGTCGTGTCCGGAACAGCAGTGTTTTCATACTCACAAGAAGATTGGACAATCATGTCTTGAGAATCGCAATCCATATGGTCAAGTTTGGAATGAACTCATTCGACAAGGTCGTATTTTCCTTCTTGAGGTGGCATGTGAGCCGCAGAGTGTTCTTTCAGAAGAAGTCATGAAACAGCTTGGACCGGACACAGCCGTTCGATGTTCTATTTGGAATGGCTATGATTTGACAACGACCACAGGTGTAAACAAACTCAAGAAACTGATTCGGGAGACTCGACCAGTTCACATTTGGGTTTCTTGTGACTGTGGACCCTACTCACCATTACAGAGGTTGAATCAGAAAACACCAGAACAAAAGCAGATTTTAGAATCAAAGAGAGAATACGCTCGTAGAGAGTACAGTGGAGGCATTGAAGTGGCCACCTACGGTCGGCGTCATGGTTCTCAGGTTCATTGGGAGCTCTCCGAACGCTGCGAAGCATGGAACCTTTCATGCATCCAGGCCTTTCTCTCTCAACTAGGCCTCCAAAAGGTCACCTGCAATGGTTGTTGTGTTGGCCTCCGAGCCCATGATACCGGAGATCTCATGTGCAAGGGTTGGAGCATTGCTACAACAAACACTAGCCTGTTGAGACACCTTCACCTTCCCTGTCAAAGGAACCACAAAAAGGTAGTTTGTGAGAGCGGTAAGCCAGCACAATCCGCATACTACACTCCAGTGTTTGCGAAAAAGGTGGTGGAGGCTCTACGAGAACATGAGACCTGGTCAGTTTTGGCGTGTGAGCTCAGTGAGACTACATGTTCGGAAGATCCTCTCTTTTGTGTTGAACCTTGTGAAACAGCATTGGTCAATGACGGAGAGATTTCAGTCGAAGAGAAACAACGAATCATGAGGCTCATCCGGCACATTCACTGCACGACTGGTCATGGTTCCATTGCAACGCTAGTGAACTCTCTGAAACATAGGGGAGTGCCTGAGAGGATCCTGAATTTGGCTCGCGAGTTCAAATGTGTGATTTGCGAGGAAAGGAAGCGAACCACACCGCATCGACAAGCAACCTTGGAGACAGTGGCAAAGAAGTGGCAGCGAATTCAGTGTGACTTGGGATCCTGGACACATCCACAAACAAAGCATAAAGTGAAGTTCATTCTCTTCATTGATGAAGGATGCCGTTTCCGGGTGGGTCGCATATTATTTGAAAACAGTCGCAATCAGGCTACTTGGCCCATTGTCAGAAAGGTGTTTGAAGAAGCATGGCTTGCATCCTTTGGTCAGCCCGAAGAGATTCGTGCGGATCCAGAGGGCATTTGGAGGAGCGACGAAGCTGCTGCCTATTGCCAAGAACGTGGTATCATCTTGAGTCCAATTCCCGCAGAGGCACATTGGCAGATAGGTGTAGTTGAAGAGGCAATTGAAGCTCTGAAACACGTCATGACATCATTGGCCCAGGATTTTTCTGAGATGGAGGTGTCAGAACTTTTCTACAGGTCAATTTGGGCATGCAATAGTAGAGACAACCAACATGGATATTCACCTGCACAACATGCCATGGGAAGAACTCCAGATGAATGGGGAAGATTGTTCGATAGTGAGGTTGAGGGTCACCCCATTCACCCCCAGCAGATGGTCGATGGAGGTTTCAAGGAGAACATTCAGGCGATGACAGCAGCAGAACAGAGTTTTCTCAAATTCCAGGCCAAGACAAGGCTTGCCAGAGCAGAAGCTGCCGGCACTCGGCCCTTGAAGTCATTCACACCAGGAGATCTAGTGTTCTACTGGCGAAAACAAGTTCAGGGCGGTGGTGACAAAGGCTTCTCTTGGCGAGGACAATTCCTTGGCCCAGCTCGGGTTTTAGCCGTAGAGACTCGGGTAGTAGATGATGAGGGCAAGCTTCGGCCCGGCAGCTGCATGTGGTTGCATCGTGCAGGGAGGCTGATCAAAGCCGCGCCAGAGCAACTGCGAGCAGCATCCAGTCGGGAGAAGGCAGTTGAAGAACTCAAAGGACCATGTGAGATCCCTTGGACCATTACAAGCTTAGCTTCTCATCCACAGAGATCAACATACTGGGATATTTCCTCAGAGGTCCCCAACAATCAACAGTGGCAAGAAGCATCAGAACATCCTACAGGTAGGCGGCGATGTGTTGGAAAGAGGACTATGGAATCTACAGATGCAAGAGCAGCCCGACCCCGACTGGATGAGCAGGATGCTGAGATGCCCGCAGCTTCAGAAGCAGCGCAAGTGGGAGAGGAACAAACTTTCACTGTGTTTGAGGTGACAGTCGACATTCCGAGTTCAAACAGGGGCTTCAAGAGGTTTTGTCAAAATCCAGAAGCGTTTGTGGTCAACCAGATCAAAAGATCCCACATAGAGGTTCGTGAACGGTCCATGACAGACTCTGAATTGGCAGAATTCAAAGAAGCAAAGGGTAAGGAAGTTCGCAATTACATTCAATCTCATTGTTTCAAAGTGCTGCCTCCAGAGTTGCAGAATGCAAATGATGCAGTGGGCATGAGATGGGTGCTCACGTGGAAGCTGGGAGACGATCCAGATCGTCCGCGGAAGGCAAAAGCCAGGGCAGTGATTTTAGGCTATCAGGACAAAGACTATGAGTACAAACAGACTTCAAGTCCTACTTTGTCTCGATCGGGTCGTCAATTGTTTTTAGCCTTTTGTTCCAGACATCACTTCCGAGTCCGCAAGGGCGATGTGAGCTCAGCATTTCTCCAGGGTGATGAACTGGAGAATGGAATGCTAGTACAACCAACAAGAGAGATATGCGAAGCACTACAGATTCTGGAGGGATCCGTGACACAATTACAGAGAGCAACATATGGATTGGTTGAAGCACCTTTATGGTGGTACAAAAGTGTCTCTAGCTATTTGCTTTCTATTGGATATTCTCGAATGAAGACAGAACCTTGCATTTGGGTATACTTTGACAAACAACAAAAGCCAAGATCTGCGATCAGTGGCCATGTGGATGACTTTCTTTTTGCAGGTTGCGACGGTGACCAGGTACATCAAGAGTTGATGAGCTTGATACAGGCAAAGTTCAAGTGGGGAACATGGGAAGACAGTCCTTTTCTTCAATGTGGTGTTAAAGTGGTACAAGATGATCGGTTTGGTTTCACACTGTCACAACAAGACTTCATTGAGGGTTTATCTCCCATCAAACTTTCCCGAGACCGTGTTCGACAGCGAGAACAACCCACTACAGATCATGAGAAGTCTCAAATGCGAGCAGTGTTGGGAAGCTTGAGTTGGGTTTGCGGACAGACCAATGTGTTACACAGTGTTGATGTGAACTACTTGGTTTCCACTATACCTCTCAGTACAATTCAAGATGTGGTGAAACTCAACAACCTAGTGGAAGATGTAAAACGAACAGCACCACAACTCAAGATACATTCACTACAAAAGGGTGAACCTGTGGACTTGGTTGCATGGGGTGACGCCGCTTGGGCGAACAGGCCAGACAATATAGCAAGCACCGAAGGGATTGTTTTGGGCATGGCTCCAAAAGCTCTCAGACAAGGATCCTTGACCAACGTCTCTCTGCTCAGCTGGAAATCCGGCAAGATAGACGCAAATGCCGATCGCCGGCGTGTGCCGAAGTTCATGCCGTAGTCAACGCTGAGGACGAACTGTATCATATGAGATACCTTTGGTCAGAGATGCATTTTCCCAGAAGTGTTTTGAATACATTGACAGCAGCCAAGATCGTAGCACTTTCACCAGGCATTGTGGTTACAGACAGCAAGAATTTATACGATAGGTTGGACAAAGACACGCCAACAATCAAAGGTGAAGAGAAACGAGCAACAATCGAGGCATTGGCTCTCAAGGACTCCTCAGAAGAATCAGGTACTGAACTTCGTTGGGTTCACTCGGACGCCCAGCTTGGAAACTCGTTGACAAAACCCACAGAGAAGGGACAATTACAACTGTTTTTCAAGTTGGGACAGAGATGGAGGATCGTGTATGATGAGAACATGAGGTCAGCAAGAAAACGCAAAGCTGTTGGGATAAAACCTATGGATAACTAGTTCGTGTGTTTGTGGTTTTGCTTTGTTTGACTTTTAAATTTAACGTCCACCAGTGCAAATTGCGGCATTCCGATGGTCCACAATTCGTCGCCATCCGTACAGCACTCAAGAGCCCCCTCGGGTTTTTGGAAAAAGGAGTGACCACTTTCGTGCTGCCTCCTTCCGCTCGCTTTTCACTCGCATATATATATATATATATCACATTACAATGTCAATTGAAACCAAATTTCATCATCTCAGGAACTTCCAAATCAATGGATTCTGCCTCCCCAATTCAGGTGGTTGTTGTTTGTTCATCAGCTGTGCAGGTCCTTCAGCTGTCGATCTGTGACCGATCGACCGATTTTGTTTCGAAACAACAGACCGAGCGATGGAAGAAAGCCGTTGACGACCTGTCCTGTGCAGGATGACTTGTCCTGTGCAGGAAGTATATGTTTCGCATATCTTCCCCAAGAGACATCATGGAAGCAGCACCCGTCCTGGGCCGCAGGACCCTGCCCCGTCTCTTGTAAAGCCGCCTGTTGCAGGTTGGACATTTGGAAGTCGATCCAGACCACGAGCCCCGGAAAACTTTGGTCGAATTTCCCTTAGTTGGGCACATAGGTCGAAACACATTGAAAAGACTCCCGGCTCAGCTACTGGTACAAGAATCACAAAGTAACTATAGGGACTACCTGTAGCAAACTCTTCTCCCACCTCTAACCGGTACGTGCGTGTTTCGTCGAACTCGCCACATGCGTCTTCACAAGCCTGCGCCCCTCACTAGGAGCTCTTCAAACGAAAAGCCGGGGAAGAGATTGTCGATCAGATGCCCCTCGACCTGAAAACGACGACGGGAGTCGACGGAGGATGGGGACAGGTTCGGACGACGGGCCCCCGAGGCTCGGCGCGGAGCTTGAGACATGTGCTCACA